CAGGGACGCCCACTTCAATGAATTTTGCTTTCAAATTTGAGTTGCATTGAATATCGATCACCTCCATTTTTGCATATGGCTGGGTACTGAGTCAATACTTATTGAGAAAATCGAAGAAAACAAAAAAAAATTTGTCTTCGAGGAACTAAAATCATTAAACCTCGTTTCAAATTCAGTTGTTAAATTTGCAATTTTTTTCTGCGTATTTTTGATACGAACAAGTATCATCTAAACTTGATTTGTTCATGCTGCACGTCGGGAAGTGCGTCAAATCTTCATTTTTAAGTTGTTTTTCCCAAAGAACTAGTTGACATTTGAATGCTTTAATTATGTCAAACATGTTCGTAATGATATGATCTTTTCCTTGTAACGATAAATTTAAATCGTTTAAGTGTTTGGTTATATCAACCAAGAAAGATAAATCTTGTATCCATATTGGATCGTAAAACAAACTTACGTCTTGATTTTTCGTTTTTAAAAACTGACATATTTCTTCTTTCAAATCCCAGAATTGTTTGAGAATCTTGGAGCAAGATAACCAACGTACCTCGGTATAGTAGGACAAACCCGAATATTCACTATCTAACTCACTTAAGAAAGCAGTGAATTGACGCTGATTTAAACCTCGAGATCTTAAAAAAATTTATAACTTTTTTTATATATGACAAAACATTCTCCATATTTATTACTTTCATGCATAGAACTTCTTGATGTATAATACAATGCATATGATGAATGTTTGAACCGTGAATTTCACTAAGTTTTCTTCTTAGTAATGCTACGAAGCCCTTGTTTTTCCCGGTCATTGATGGAGCGCCATCTGTAGCTACAGAATTTAATTTTGCCAAAGGTAGATTGTATTTCTGCAGAAGTTCAAAAACACAAGTAAAATATCTTCTCCTGTGGTAGTACCAGGCATCGGTATTAGTTCCAGTAATTCCTCAAAAATGTTAAAATTCTTGTCACAAGAACGAAGAAACACTGCTAATTGAGCTTTGCCACTAATGTCCGTACTCTCGTCACAGGCAATGGAGAAACTTTCGAAACTAGATGATTTTGCTTTGATCTGATCACTGAAATTCGCGGCTAAATCAGTAACTCTTTCCGCAACTGTATTTCGAGACAATGAAATTGATTGAAAAGCCTTCGCATTTCCAGGACAAACAATTTCTCCAGCTTTCATTAGGCATTCCTTGATGAAATCACCGTCAGTAAAAAAGGCTTCGAATGTTTAGCTATCAACTCGGACAAGACGTAGCTTGCATGTACCGCCGCCGCTTCACTTTTCTTGCAATTCTTTACTAAACATGGACTGTTGCTTTTTCACTCCTAACTTGAGCTCTTTCAACTTTTCTTCTCTCATTAATCCTTCGTAATTGTTATATTTCGATTTGTGTTGTTCGTAATGACGTTTTAATATTACATAATTTTGGTACATTAATAGTATTATTACATATCAAGCAGATTATTTTATCTTTTATTTCACAGCAAAAATATTCTAATTCCCATTTTACTTGGAATATTCTATGTTCGTCAGCGATCTTTTCGTTTAATTTTACTACCACTTGGTTTTGATATAGACATACTGAATACAAAGGGCTGGAATAAACACGGTTAACGTTAAAAAGTTAACAAAAATTTATTCTTTCCACAAGAGATAAATCAAAATGCTGAAATATTTCTTCAAAAATATTCTAACAATATCACAAAATGTCAAACGTTTAGCAAAGATCAATTCAAAACAGAAAAACTAATTCTATCTACAGCGAAATCGCTACAAATCAATCACAGCATTAAGTAAACAAACAGTTCGCTAGAACTACAGCTACTACTGAGATGAGTTGTTTTTTGTTCTCGGCTTTTATAAGCTTTAATTAATTTCTCTCGAATATACTGGAAACATCTATAAATATCTGGATTTTTGTGGATGGCAACAGCAATTAAGAGATATTTATTTATTAGGTATTAAATGCACGCGCTGTTCTATTTTTTAACCTTCCAACGCAGCTGTCTTTTCAAAAATCGTCTGCGTTGCTAAGGCAACATGAAGCAAATCTAATTACAATTCTAATTAAAAAAAAAACTAACTAAATAAATAACTATGAAATCCGTAACAATATGAATTAAGTAATAATTAATAATAAAGCAAAGTGCATGCACATGCATGCACCAATATATCGTACAAAACTATGATTGGAAAACTGAGACCATGAGTTCGGCCACATTCGGCTATCGGGGGATGCGTACAAGTTCTGGTGCACGTGTCCCCCAAAAACCGAAGGTAGCTGAACGCAAGCTACTCGCATGCATTTGTAATTTAAGTAGTGTGTGTGTCAGCTCTAGGTGAGTAATCTAACAACAGTGAATAAATTATCGTTAATTACTTAGCAGTAAACATTTCATATTTTTTCTTCGTCGATATCGTGTTATTTATTATTATATATATTATTATTTGCCGATATATTGGCCGGGATGCAAAAATATTTGTTGTGGGCCGCATGCGGCCCACAGCCGCGAGTTTGACATCCTTGTTTTAGAGCATCTGTTTTAGAGCATCATACGGGAACGTCCGTGACAATCTTTAGTGGTTTCCCTATCGGCTGTCCAATCGGTATAGTGGTTAGTGAGGCTGCGTGCGTACCGACGGCCCCACGGGTTCGAATCTCGGTGAAGGTATAGGTGTTTGTAAGCGTATAGTGTCTACATTTTGATCTTAGACAAAAGATAAATGTATAATGTCTGTGAGGTAAGGAGGTACTCAGAATACACGGCGAGCCGAAAGCTCTCTGGAGAAGACGGTGGTAGATGAAGAGAAGTAGTAAACCCTCAGACCGGCTCCGGGGCGTTCTTACTAAAAACTGGGGCTCATTTGCATAAGTGCGGCGGAACTATACCTGTGTGATCAATGGTGAAATTCTTGTGTCTCGTTCACTTCTATCTGCATCTGCGGACACAGCCCTGCCCGCTAAATGTTTTTTAAAACATGATTACATTAAAAAAAAAAAAAAAAAACCACATTTTTTTTTAAAATAGAAAATACGCCGAAAATGGGATCTGTGTCTATTGGTCATCAAATGATTGTCATGCCTGCTGTTTCACTTTTAAATAAAATTCTTCTGTTCTTTACGTTAAGTTCTGTTTTCTTATCAGACTTTTTATCTCAACAATATTCCTATTTCATTGTTGAATTTCTAAATTAAAGCTGCTAGAAATGATAGGACTATGTTTTTCGGCGGATGCGCATGCTTACTAGGATATCTACTCTACATAGGTTGATCGCTAGTACAATTATGCGTATGCTCACTCATATCCATGTTACAAAAATTCATGACAAATTTCAAAAATGTTAAGGACGTAAATGTTACAAAAGTGTTATGCTACATGACATGTTACAAAAATGTTAAAAATGAAACAGACATGATACAAAAATTGAAATTTTAAACTGCTCAGTGAGTATAACATTTCTTTTAATTTACACCTAAAACTTTTTCCAAGAAATCTTAGTTTAGATAACGGAACGTCCGTTGATCGAAAACAATATCATTTTAAATTTCCTGCAGCTAATGTCATTCCTTTGAAAAGATTCCTTGTCAAGCAAAGACATCTTGTTCTTAAAATTTATAAAATTATGAATCTAACTTCTGCATTGGGAAAAGATATTTTTTCTCCCCCGCATAAAAATATGCATATAATAGTAGTATATTTATATTTTTTAAAATTTCATTGTTTTATTTATAAACTCACACACAGCAGCTTTATTTTATGAGCATAAGGTTCAAAATCTTACCTAATACACGTAATTATTCGAACGATAGATTTTATGAATCTTTGATCTAATTTTACGTACTCTATGAACAGTGGTATGGTGTATTTTAATTATGGCAAAGCACACTAGGGCTATCTGCCTAAGGGGAGGGATGCCTTCGTGGAGGACTTTCTAAGGGAAACTGGCTCGTATACACGTTACACATGGGGAAAACCACGAAAACACCCATGCAGCCAGCCCGTTCGCCTATGAACAGTGGACTTTATTTTAATGGATTGGATTTTATTTTCAGTTTTTATTTCTCTTTCATGTTAATATCTTTCAAAATTATACTTTTAAATTATGTACTGTAATATGAAAAATATAACTAATTCCGTTATTATTATTTAAAATTAAAATAAACCTAGTTAATGATGATGTGGAATAATATCATTGATAAAAATCAGGTGTCTCCATTCATTGTTACCTGAACTGAACTGGATATCAGAAACATCACAGACATTCACAAATTCACCTAAGAGCAACAAAACGCAAGTTTTACTAGTAAAAGGCAATTTGAATTCCTTGAATAGTTTTCCTTACATAAAAAGTTATATAAGTGTCCTTCGCTTTTATACTGCAGTTAATTCTAATTGTTAATATTTTGAACATATTTTATAAATAGGTTTTACATATTTGCAATATGAATATTGAATATATAATAAATACTTGCGATTCCATTACACATTTTCTAACAACATCGTTTGAGATGAGATATATGAAAATTTCCAAGTGAAATTCTTATAAATGGAGTATAAAAATCGTAAATAATGTTGATGATGCCATTAATCTTAAATAATTAGCGAATTTTTATGGTATTATAGAATTACATCTTTTGGCTTAAAAATAATTAAAAAATAGAATATTTTAATTTAATTTCTAGTGCGATTAAAGTTGCTCTTATACCTAGCATTTATAGAATTACATCTTTTGGCTTAAAAATAATTAAAAATAGAATATTTTAATTTAATTTCTAGTGCGATTAAAGTTGCTCTTATACCTAGCATTAAATTAAAATTCAAATAAAGTAGCAAATAACTTTGAACCTTAGCTAAAACTAATTTATGTAATTTTAATTACTTGTATCGTAATGCGGTGTATCGTAATATCATTATCTTCATTTATTATCGAATAAAATGCATCGGAAAATCTTATTTTATTAAGGCATTTACTAATGTGATTGCGAATGTTCTTATTGAGTAAGTAATTTTAAGTCTTCTTGAAAACGGTAATATTATTATTTATATTCAATTACTTTTTATTTCTGACAGTAATTTATTGTTATTGGTGAAAGTAAACTTTTAAGTCCAAATTCCTTAATTCAAAGGCATAGGTAGCATTTTTAAATCGTAAAAATTCTTGAACTATTTACATGCAGTGAAAATTTGAAGTTAAGCTTTTTTTTATACTGACATCAAAAAAGCTACGAAAGTATGAGAATTAGTCTCCATTTTCAAATAACATGTGAAAATGCAGTTTTTACGATTTATTGAAAGCTAAAATACAATGAGCGTTTCGTTTAATGAAAACTGCAATCTATTTAAAAAAAGTGATAAAACTGGAGATGAAGCCAAAACTACAATTCTGAGTTCTTTTAAAAATAATACAGCTCACGATCATAAAGAGATCTGTTCAACAGATATTAAGATTCCTTCTCTCAAGGCTTTATGCATGGCTTCCAATTTGAATAATGAAAATTTTGATTACACTGGCATTAAAACGACTTTGAAAGATATATCTTGGCAAGCTTTTGACTCAGTTAAGTCTACAGGACACTTGCTTACTAATTTTTCCCATTCTGTTACACACACTTTCAATAAGTTTAAAATGATGTTACCAAGTTTAACAAATCAAACTTTGCTAAATTCATCATCAACAGCAGAAATCATCGCTGACAACGCCGAATTTAAAAGTCATTTTCAGTCTCCTTGGCTTGACACTAATGACGCAGAAGATATAAAACAACAGATTTTATCTTTGTCTTCAGATAGAAAAAATTTCTTGAGAAATCCACCTCCTGGTGTATTCGAATTTGATCTGAATGAAATGCTCCCTATAGCAGAATTTCTCTTGAAAGAAGATAAAAATTTAGCTAAAATGCGTTTTGAAATTGTTCCAAAATTAATAAAAGAAGAAACTTTTTGGAGGAATTATTTTTATCGAGTGTCTCTAGTTCAGCGTGCTTCAAGACTTCAAAACGGTTGCAACCAAAATTTCGGAAAGAAAACTGTTTGTAATATGAATTCTGATGAAAATTGCTATATATTCCTTTGCAAAAATGAAATGGCTGCACATGATACGAAGCAAAAGTCTGTTTCAGATGAAACAGATAAGAATAAAATTGAGAGTGTTGAAAATGTTAATGATAATTTACCAAAAGTGAAGGAATTAACTGAAACGGAAAAACAAGATAATTTAGAAATCTTAATTGAAGAAGCTCTTCAAGAATGCGAAATAAATGCAGAAGGAAGTAACGACGTTGAATGGGAAAATGAAATACAGCAATTAATTGAGGAAATAAAATATTAAGCTAAACTTCATTACTTCTCCACAAAAATTACTTTTAGGCTCCGAAATGTTTTTCCATATGTATAGTATTAGCTGTTATCCTAATAAAAGACTGCTATAAAATATTTAATGAGAAGATAACGTGACTTATCTTCTCAGTTTCGTGATTTTTTTTAAATCTGTATACTCTAAATACGACCAGCTTCTTAAAATGATCTATGCAGAAGGTAATCCTTCCCTTAAAAAAAAAAAAAAAATTATACCCACTTAGGATTGAGGCCATGTTAGACAACGCGGTACTACTACTACTTCAATAGACGGTTGCACGGATTTTTCAGCGATTTACTTTGGAGCAATTTTTGGCGTTTTACAATCGTCAGCCATCTTGAAAAAACGCTGTTTTTACGTATTTTACGCACAGTAAAGTATTCGGAAATTTAAAAAATAAATATCGTTAAAAATAATGGATTAATCTTTTGTTGAAAACGTTGTTTTTTTAAGATGGCAGGCAAATGTAAATAAATACATTTACTACGAGTATGAAATACTAAAGTAAGGTTAAATTATTACTTATATATTAAGGTTAAATTATTACATATAGCAAAGAAATATGATAAAAACACCGCTATAAAAACATTGCTTCAACGTTTAATTGGATTAAAATAATACTTAAATTGAATATCGAATTAAAAACCATCATATCCAACGTTTAAAAGAATTAAAATATTACTTAAATTCAAATACTTTAGAATAAGTCTCAAGGATATAATTATATTTTCTAACTGCGCCAATCGGCTACACTTTCTGAAAAAATACCGGCACACATTGAATTCTGCTGTAGGAAGAACTCATGAATATTTCGTGCATTAGAGCTAAAACGACAGCAATTAGAAATTTACTGCCGGTAAAAAATGGAGGAATGTCTAATACTTTTTTTTTTTTTTTTACCGTTACAGCGGTTATTTCTTTCCCTGTGACCATAATACCATATACGGCTGCCCTCAGAATCGACCCTTTTAACGATCTTCATCTGTGATCTACATTTCTCGCACTTCATTGAAGAAGCAATTTTTGAGGTTTCCTCCAAAAATTTTAAATAAATTTTCTCTGATCCTTGTAACAATTTATGAATAAACCTTTGATTAGGAAAGCCAGGTTGACCAAAAAAAGGTCTCAAAGGATAATTTTTTGATTCCGATACCAATGATTCTTGGTACTTACCAATAACAACATTGATCTTTGAAAGGGACATTTCTATGAAATCTAAGGAATTCGAAGAGATGAATAATAAATTTTTAAAATGGCGCGGTAATGCACAAATATTCAGTAACCAATCAGGGAGCTCATTACAGCTCGTGAATGCACAAATATTCTTTAATCAATCAGAGAGCTGATTACTTCACGCATAGAATTAAAATTATTTAAATAATCATAAATATAAAATCGTTTTTTTTTAAAAAATACAAAGTTAAATAGTATTTTAATATTTAACAGCCATAAATAATGTTTGAAACATTAGATTAAATTTATAGATATTAAACCAATTACTTTTAAAGCAAAGTGACATCATTGATTACAATCATCCACAACATAAAATTATATGAAATAAAACAAAAAAAAAATTATTTCAAATAAAAATTGTCTTACGCCTAATAGTATAAATTAAAAATTATAAATTATTGATAAAATAACTTATCAAATATCTAAAATAATATCGAGAACAAAAATAATGGAGGCCATGTAAGTAAGTTATGAGCAGAGAACTTCCAAACTGGTGATTAGTCCTTTATAAGGAAAGTGCAAAATAAATGGTGCCACAGAAAAACAGAAAATACACAGATACATAAGAAGAAAGTACACATAAATAATAACCAAGTACAACATAGTTACATAATTTTATATAAGTAATTGGAGATTCAAGATTTCCATTGGCTTTTTGATGTTATTAGGTTCTTTAAAGTCGTAGTTACAGATTTTAATTGCACAATCCTTTATTCGCCCCTGTCTTTCATACAATATTTTCGCTGAACTATAATAATGAGTCTTTAATTAGACATTTTGAGTTCCTCGTGAATAACATTGTTTCGAATGTGGGAATTAGTTGTTTTCCTCAGTACATGATTCTGGGCAGTTAACAATTACTTTCTGTTAGTTTTACAGGAGTAAACCCAGACTGGACAGGTGTGACACAGTATAGAACATCGAATGGTTTATAAATCAAAACATCTTTACCTGTGTTTGCCTACATCATTAAAAAAATTCTAATTTAGTTTTAAAAATCAACTGTATTGTTATTAAATGAAAGTAATAGCACATTGACTTGCATTGAAAGCTATAAGCTATTTTATGTTGATTAAACAATTATAATTTAAATCTTTATTATAAATTCTTCTTTCCGTAGCCTTCACCAGAATGCAAATTAGTTACTAAGTATTTAAGTTGAGGGTTTTGAATGTTTTAGAGCCCTTTATTACTAAATGAATAGTTAATTTTTCGAAAATCATTATCTACCACGAAGCAATTAGTAAGATTATCTGATATGCGGGTGCAGCCCTTCCTATCAGAGAAAATGTTCCCTTACTCATGCTGGATGTGGCGAAAGCCTTCGATGGCGTCTGGCATAAGGGGCTCATATATAAACTTATTCGCATGAACATTGGCAGAGAAACTATCATCCTACTGATGTCTTTTATCCCCAGTGCCTGTTCAGACATCAGACCCATAACAACGGGGGTCCCCCAAGGATTTATGTTTGGTCCAATACTTTACCTATTCTATGTCGCTGATTTTTCCAAGAATAACCTCGATCATCATAACTTACTTGGATGTTGTGCAGATGATACGGTGCTTGCTGCAAGATCAACTAATGTTAACCAAACGATAAAAAAAGTTACAAGATCAAATACCTGAAAGATGGTGTACTTTATGGGGATTGCAATCAGTGCAAGAAAATCTCATTTAGTTATCATTAGACGGAAAAAAATCCCAGACTAAATCTACCCGTCAGGTTACTCTATTTAACAAAATTGTTCCAGTAGTCAAGAAAACAAAATATTTGAGTATTACAATTAATTCAAAGTTAAAACGAAATTATCATATTTATAAAATTAAAAATAGAGTTAACAAGGTTACTAATTGTCTAGTTCCTCTTGTTGAAAACATTCAAGTTGGGACCTCAGGAAGAAACGTCTTGTCTATTACCAGACCTATTTTAGTTTATACTTCACCTGCCTGGAATGTTTTGCAAAAAATGATCTCCTTAAGTTGTAAAAAATTCAAAATCGTTTTCTAGGCATTATTACTAATGCTCATTATTACGTTAGAAATGTTACACTTCATGAAGCCCTCAAACTTGATACTACTGAAACCTACCTCAACAAGACACCTGAAAAGGACTTGATCTTAGAACATTTGCTGCACACCAAAAAAAAAAAAAAGAATGACTGTTCTTCCACCTAGCTTTTTACGCATTTTCTTTCCATTTCTGTTGTTGCATTTATTTTGTTTTTCATTGTACTTGGTATGCATTGTATTCTATTTATATTGAAGGGTAATTTTCTTATTTTACACCACTGCCAGTTAATTTTTAACTACACTTATTGACTTGCTTGCTTCACACACACTCCTGCCCTTCTTCTTTTTGCGATGTCGGATTATTTATGATTCTCTTGCCCTCCTTCGCCTCCACTCACTGATACATCATATTGTAGGACCATTTTGGGTGCTACATATCATGATTGCAGTTATGTATTGCGCCTTAATGGCAATATTTCCCATCGATTCGGGCGCGTTGCGCTATGTGCCATATTCGCGGAATACCCTGGTTCGATTTGACTCGATTGTTTTAAAGGTTTTAACAGTCTCGCCTGCAGTTTACGTCCTATCGCTAGCTCTTGCAGAGATTATTTCGGTTTTAGCGTTTTGTTAGCCGATGCTAAAAATGTTCCTATAAAATTTTTGAGCCAGTTTAAGTAGACCATTTTGGATAGTCTCCGACTAATTTACTAATTTACTCTGACTAATTTACGACTAATTTTCTTCTACTTAATTACTTTAATTTGAATGTCAAATTATGTTATTTTAAATACGTGTGGAGTCTATTCTCACGCAGCACTCACATGGAGTGCCTCCGGTTTAATTTTAAAATTTTATTTAAAAAAAGTTTTTTCTCAAGACTGTCATCTTAATCCAGATTGGAACGATAACTCACTCGTCTGTCTAGTAGGGTCTGAAGTGCATTGATTTAAATTCTACACAAATAAAGCTCTGCATAGTGATCAAGCAGTCAGTCGGAATTGCATATACCTAGTAATCAATTTAATAATGATGTTTCAAAATAATACCTAAAGGTATCAAATCTATTTCGAATGCATTGCCCTAATTTCTATAAGTTCTGAAAAAGGAAATAAAAGTGAATGTATAAGAATAATAATAGATTCCCGTATTCCTCCCCAGAATGCAAATTAGCAGCCAGTATTTAAGCTGGGGTTTTTGGATTCGAATGAAAGAGTGTTTCTGGCATCGCGTGCGTGCTACATGGCTAGTTCCTTGTTCTAACAGTTGTAATTATTCGGCTTTCAAGTCTCTTGCTGCCGATACTTTAATTCTGACACGCCGTTAGGGTTACTGAGCCATCTTCTAGTACAGTCATTAATTGTATGGCCTTTGACTACTGTTCAGCATTTAATTTAAATTTCTCTGTTCTATTTTTAACTTTATCCGGCGTCTGCAACAGCTACCACAAACAATCTGCCAACAGAGCACATGCCCAAATCCTTTGCGGACGTATTACGGCGACTAAAGAAACCAAGTTTAGTCATTCAGCCTCGTGGTGAAGTCTTTGCAAAAGAGCTAAGAAACCAACTTAATTCAAAGGTTCCAATAGCGCAGCTAGGTGTGGCAGTGGAAATCTGACATCAAGAGACCAGCAAGGCGGAAACCACGCTGCGTCATCCAGGATGTCACGGAATGCATTAAGCCACAAGAAATCATTTATGAACTCTGTGCAATTACAAAAATGCCCCGAAGCTCCTATAAACCACTTTTCCGCCTCAAGGAAAGGAGGAATGGCCGAGTCAAGTGGGTCATTGAATGTGCTTCGCAGCAGCACTCAAAGTAC